CTTGGTACATAATATACTATTTGTAACCACTTTGCTCAGGATAGGGATTGGCACAGGTGCAATTTGGTAAAGTACAATGTTGTTACAGATCTTCAGAGCATATTTCATTTCGTTATCAGATGACGGTCGAAATTTGCAGTGGGCTCTTTTATTATAACCAATGCAATATATGACAACCGCCTATATTCAAACAGCAGTCTTCTGCGCATCCTAAATTTGTATCCTTGGAGTGGATGTTATTTTGGAACATGCAATTGGTCCGAGTGAGTTCTTTAGCTATAAATTGTGCTAAAGGTATTAAAATTGATAAGATTTAATAATTGAGGTCAATCAATGTTGCGTGTTGACAATTTGTTTATAAATAGTACATCAGAAACTGTTCTCCTAGTTTCAAGTGATTTTAAGTTTAATTGAGAATTATAACGTATGAGTAATCTCCTCTTATATAACCCATTTTATAGGCGCATATTCTCAAGAATTTATTCTGAATAGCCTCTATTTGATAATTATGAGCATTGTAATATGGGTTCCAAATCGAGCAGTATTCTAATTGAGATCTTACTAGAGAACAATACATCGTTTTGAACGTAAAAACATAAAAATCCGTGGAAGACTTAGAAATGAAACCTAATAGTTTTGATGCCTTTGCTGTTATCATATCTATATGTGCCTGAAAAGACCAAACTGCTATTCATCATGACACCTAGATCTTTAATAGTATTAACTCTTGATACACTATCATTGTTAATTTGATAGTCACGTATGATAGGTGAAAAAAATTTGCTAAAAGTTATGCAGAAGCATTTCTTAATATTTAGATCAATTTTGTTTAGTTTGCACCAGATATTAAGAGAGTTAAGGTCTATTTGCAAGTCAATTATATCACAATATGAATTAATAGATTTGAATAACTTGAAATCGTCTGCAAAAAGTAGGTATTCGTTATAATTTAATGTTTCACAAATATCGTTAATGAACAGATTAAAAAGAATTGGTCCACAATGTGAACCTTGAGGTATACCTGGAGGAACTGTAATCTCATGGGATACAACACCCGCAATTTTCACTTTTTGAAATCTATTTGATAAATAACTTTGAATCCAAGCCAGCATTTACCCGGTATTCCAATATTTTTTAGTTTGTTGACAAGAAGTTTGTGGTTAACACAGTCAAAGGCTTATGAAAAATCTGTATAGATCGAGTCAACGTGTAACTTGTTTTCTAAAGCATTAATTATGTAAGTATTGTAGAGCAAGCAATTAGTCATTGTTGACCGACCAGTGTAAAAACCATGCTGTTTTTTACATTCCCAATATAAAAACTTACTTACGAGATAATCGAATGCAATGCTTTAAGAAATATCTGACTGGACTTTTTGGGCCCGATTTATGAATTGGTTTCAAAAAACTGTGTTTCCAGAAATTTGGAAAAACTCCTGATTCAAAGGATATCTTAAAAACGATTTTTAGAGGATAAGCTAAAGTATAAATGCATTTAAAAAAAATGAGTTGGAATCCCATCTGGACCATAGGGGGAAACTTTCGATGGTAGACTGTTAATTCTTTCTATGATGTCGAATACATTAATTTGATGAGTTGATATATTTACAGTATTTTTAAAATTATATGAAGGTAAATGTTGTACATTTTCATTAGAAAAAACTGATGAAAAGAAGTCTGCGAAGTCATTTATAATACTCACAATATCATCGAATTATTATAGGCCATGATTTTTGGAAGATCATGGGCTTTTCTTTTGTTATTTATGTATCTCCAAAAATATTTAGGATTAGAGTTAATAATAATACAAGGACTTTATTTGTACTAAAAGAAGAAAAAAAAGTACAAGTACGGGGCGAGATTTAGCCTGTGGCTATTCTTACACCTAACCCACAAAAGCCCTAATGGTATGCAGAAACATTGCAGGTAAACGATGAGGATGTAACCCAAACATACTGCGATGGATGTATACTGCAATAGTGAGACCAATCATCACTTACGGGGCTATAGCCTGGAGTAACAGAACTAGTTTAGTTACTACGAGAGCTAATATCTCAAAAGCACAAAGACTAGCCTGTGTTTGCATTACTGGTGCAATGAGAACCTGTCCTACGGCCGCAATGGAGGTGATCTTAAACCTCACCCCTCTACATTTGATGATAGAGAATGGCAAAGAGGACACAATATAGAATGATCAGGAATGGAGTAATCAGACGAAAGTCTACTTGCTTCAGGACTAAAGATACCTGGGACCAGGATGAAATGCAAAAGAAGTACAGTTTTGTGAAAAACTTCAAAACCACAGAGCTGGGCTGCAAGAAAGAATGGAGCCAAGAATCCATCGCGCTTGCAACCGAAAGACGTGCTATTCAGTGGTATACGGACGGTTCCAAAACCATAGAAGGAACTGGAATAGGAGTGTATGGGCCGAGAACCAAGCCCTCCGAAAGCTTGGGAAAATACCCAAGCATCTTCCAGGCGGAAATTCACGCCATCGAGAAGTGTATCCAGTTTAACATCGAGAGAAACTAACATAGACAAGAGATTATCATCATGTCCGATAGTCAAGCAGCCATCAAAGCGCTGAGTTCTTACGTAATCAGCACAAAAATGGTCTGGAGATACCTAGAACAATTGAATGAGCTAGGCGAGAAAAATAGAGTTACTCTCACTTGGGTCCCGGGACATAACGGAGTACAGGGTAACGAGATTGCAGATAGTCTTGCAAGGAAAGGGACTCAAACACCCTTTGTAGGACCTGAGCCGTTCTGCAGTATCAGCAGTAACATAATATTAGGAGAGATTAAAAAAGAATTGGGTAGTAGAAGAACCGATAATTGGAACAATCTCTTGGGGCTGAGACAGACCAAGATACTTCTGGGTGAAAATAACCAAAAAAGATCGGAAGCCTGCATCTGCCTGAGCAAGAACAGGCTACGTATTGTAACAGGGATCCTTACGGGGCATTGCCGACTAAAAGGACACCTAAGTAAACTGAGAGTAGTAGAGGATAGTGAGTGCAGATTCTGTGAGGAGGAGGACGAAACCTCCATTCACATCCTAACTGAATGTGTAGCACTCCAGAATCCAAGGGCACTATATCTATGAGGATATCAAATAGAAGAGGGAGACTTACCTAACTTGAAGCCACTTCAAATCCTACACTTCCTTGAAAAAATAGGATTGGAAGGGTCGCTATAGGCATTGAGACATTTCCTTAGTGCAGTGGCGACAGGAGGTGACACAATAGATCTTTTAGGTCGCAGTGTATTAACACCCCATTCTCAACATAACATACACCTAACCCAAAAAATATATGTATAAATTATAATAAATTATTTAAAATAAATTAGGTACCTTTAAAGTAATTTTATGTACATGATTTTTAGATTAAAGCGGAACAAACATTTTATAGTTTATATAGATCATAGATAATGGCAAGATAAAGAGAGTTAAATTTTAGAACTGTAGTTTTAGAGTGTCATCAGCAAAAAAATGTATAGCGCAATTATTAACCTGTTTGTATTATAAGTCAGATGTGTATATTAAAAACAAAAGTGGGCCCAAGACAGAGCCTTGAGGCGCACCAGATTCAATATGGATCGAAGAAGAAATTTGACCATCCACTATCACTAACTGAGTGCGGTTACGCAAATAAGTTTTTATAAAATTAAGAGACGTATTATCAAATCCATAGTAGGAGCACTTTGCTGCCAGAAGTTTGTGATTTAGCGTGTCGAATGCCTTACTAAAGTCCCAAAAAACCAGGATACCAGCTTTTCCTTTATCAATGCTCCTGATAATGGTATCAGATAAATTAGCAAGGGCAGTTGAAGTGCTGAAACCTTTGTGGAAACCTGACTGATGCATTGAAATTATGCTGTACTTGATTCAATGTTATAAAAGGATTCGATTCAAAGCATTTAAATTTCAGAACAAGAATTAAACAATTCGAATCAAAAACCTATGTACTTTATAAAATATTAGCTAGTACAAATTCACTGCACGGTGTTGCCACCTGAAATTTATTTTAAAATGCAACCACTGTGCTGATACGGTAGATATAATATCGTATCTACGAAAATTCTGATTTCAAGATTCTTACAAATATAATAAGCTTACATTTTATTTTGTTAAAACACAAAATAATAAAAGCCTATTTGCATTAGAACATATTTACTATAATTATAAGAAAAGGTTAGTAAAATATGCAAAACTTATTTGCGAAGTCTAAAAGGACGTACTTATCCACCTACCCACATTTACTAAAAATATTCTTTTTGTATACACGACCTCTTAGTAGGATAAACTTTTATGTTCCATTTAGGTTTTGAAGTTATAAAATTATTTTTTTTTTAATTATAGGTGGGACACCTCAGAGGACAGAGGAATTTGGTATATTAACTAAAAACAATTTTGAAAAATGTTTTTCGGTGGATAGGTACGAGTGAGAACCCTTTTAAAAAGCAAGAACAGCCTGATCTTATTTCAAGATTATTAATTTTTTCAATGAAACTATCCTATAATTCAATCAAAATCAATATATTTGTGTCAAAGATCATATTATTATTGTAACAAATTTAGTTGTATTGGATTTAAGAACAAGGTATTGAATATAAATAAAGTATATTTAAAACAATTGTAAGAGTATTTCATTTAAGATGTACATAATACTGCAATTGAACAATAGATACTCTTCATTTAATTAGAGGTATTTTGGTTAGGTCAAGTTGATTCTAATCTTGAAGCAAGGCTTATTAGCTATTGTTGAACAAGTATTACTAGAATTTCAAATCGAGACGAGTCTTACTTGCCAATATATAAACACAACAAAGCATTGAAATAAGACCATTCATCTTGAATATAGTACACATTTTTTTCTGTGTAGCAATTATTTATATGTTTAATTTTATAATTATTGTTTATCATTGTTGACGTGCAACGGAAATTTCATTGCAATGGGTATAATACAAAGGACTGATAAAAATGTATTATTTCCAGGTATATCCAGACTCTAAAGAGGAAAGAACGCGAGCTGGAACATGAAATGGAAAGGCTGGCAAGAGAAAAAATCGGTGCTCAACAAAGGTTAGCCGTTTTGAAAAAGGACATTATGTCCCATTACGACAACATCGACTTCTCTAAACTTCTTCCCGAGGGTAACGTGAGCCCTGGAATTAATATATCCATTAGAGACGAAATATCATTCAAAGATGACTTTCACGAAGAACTGTCCACAAACGGGAATTGCATACAAAACGGGGAGAGTCCCGAGCTGACGGCAATACCGATTTTGACTAAAGCAAACATTCCTGTAGTCACTCAGAATTTGACGACACTCAAAGCAGAGGTAATTCGTTTTTTAACCAATGTATTAATATTAATAATAATTATTTGTAATATTCTTATAAGGTACCACAACCAGTCCAAACCACAGCCCTTTCGATGCTTCCCATGTCTTACCCGGTGAACCAGCTAAACCAAGGTCTGGTACTGCAAAAGGTAGCGCTCGTTCCAAAGGGTCTGGACCACCACCTTACGCCTTTGGTATCCACTCATTTCATTACAACGCCGCAACAAATCAACGGCAAAGTGGTACCGCTCACGCAGTACCTAGTGAAGCCCGTCGTCGTCGTAAGTACCGCTTCTCCGCGTCCGAGCTAGTGGGGTTGATGGTAAGATAACAAAAAAAAAATGTAACGAAACATGTCGTTAAAGGAGGGAAATTAAATTCTGAGGAATGACTGATGAGCTGCTGTTGATTTTCTATTTATATTGTTAATTCAGATCTGTAGTATTTTTTATATTGTCTAAATTTTATTTAATCTGATTGTACGGTGTACTGGGGGTTCGTTTTAAAGTAACATTTGAATTATGTTTATGTATGTATTAGCCCAAAATGTAAGTTTGGTATATATGTGATAATTGTCTATAAAACATGCAGGTATGGTTTTGTTCAAAGATATTTTTTTGCTTTTTTTGAAACTGGCAGTACAAATGATCCAGTCGTATGGCACCCTGCAGGCAGGTCCAGGATCTGACTTTAATGTTACGATTTAGTTTATAATTAGGTTTGAAAATATCTCGAGAGGAACGAAAAACATAAGTACCTACATATTGCATTGCAAAAGACAAAGGTTTTATAAAATATAGCTATTACTTTTGATAAAATATACAACCAAAATATTATACAAGGCGTTCATATTTTTCATATTTGAAAATTTCAAGTTGATATCATTTTTCGTTTTTATGATTTTTTTTATATACAAGTCCTTACCCGGATTTAGATTTTTATTTCTGGATCTTTCTTATTTTTGAGCTTTTTGAAAAATATGTATGTTCTATAACCACAGCTATAACTTCTAAACACATTTAAAAAATATATCAACTCAGGATTTACCATGTATACAGGGTGGACCACCAGAAACTCGATGTAGGAAAAATTTGAAAATTAGGGAACTTGCTTATTTTAAATGAGACACGCTATATATTATTATATTTGTTGATTTTACTGAAGATTCTAGGCAGATTTTATGTCCCATAGCTATATGAAAAAATGTATTTTTGACAGTTTTTCAATATCATTTTAAACTTTATTTTTGTTCTCCCTGTATGATAGGTTATCCAAAATATGCCCGGTGGTCCACCCTGTATACAGGGTGAATATTAAGTTGATACTTTTTAATTCATACAATTTTTCGTACACAAGTTCAGGTCCGGTTTCAGATTTAATAATTCTTTATCCATGTTATTTTTGAGTTTTTTCAAAACAGTCTTTACACCGTTAAAACGTATCAACTTAGGATTATCCCTGTATAGATATATTAATATTACTGATATTTAATTGTGAATGACGAAACATTTTTTTCTGAACAAAACTGTATCCAGTTTAAAGTAAATCCATTCTACACTTCACACTTTCTGATTAAAAATGCTCATCTGGGGCCCTATTCTCGAATGTCTATTTTTAAATGTCACACGCGACATTGATGAAATGTCAAATAAGAACGCAAAAACGTATTCTGGAATGGCGAATTCGACATTTGTTGTTAGACATAAAGTCGAGTGGTATTCAACCAGTCGACATTGTAATGTCGCATGCCTTTTTAAATATAATGTTATGAGTGTCGTGACAGTGACAGTTTATATTTATTTTTAAGAGAAATGAAAATAAGTAATGTACAAATTGTTTTTGAAAATATATGAAATGATTATTTACAATTTCTCCTAATTTATCCATTATTAGTCCTGTCCAGTATCGGATTGGGCCGTCGGTCTACCGGCAAAAGACCGGTAGGCCTTCGTTTAAGCTGTGGGCCCTCGTTCGGGCAGTGGGTCCTCGTTTGGTTGGGTCCTCGTTCAGGCACTGAGCCTCAATCAGTGGACCTAATTCAGTGAGCCTAAGTCAGTGGGACCTCAGTCTGTGGACCCTTGACAATAAGAAATGCGAAATAAACCTTGGAAAAAATGAGGATGGACACAGTAGTTCACCTCCAACTAACAGGCCCCGGAGAGGCAAAATAATCTGAAGTCTGAAGCAAACAGGAGAGGGATAAGCTGCAGGCAGTGCTACGGCAAACGCTACCCTCAGCAAACCCCCTCACTCCAAACAAAACAAAAAAGGCCTAATCAAGTCCCTAGACAGCGACGCTAGTTCAGCCCCCACAAGAAGCTGGAACACGACGCAACTAGGGACAAGAAAAGAGGTAACGCCCTGGAAGGTGAAAAACCCAGACAGGACCACAAAGTTCTGTCTGGGATAAGCTACAAGGATGCAGCTACGAGCCACCTGAAAGTAGCTATAATAGACAAGGATAACCCTTATGGTAAGATAACTACCGAAAGAGAAATCCTTGTCAAAAAGACACTGATGAGAGAGCTGGACAAACCAATCTTGTCCGCCTCCTGCATCAAAACCAAGCCATCCACATTCAGGTCTTGGTCGCACTCTGGTGAAATTATTAGAGTAACCTGCAACGATGACCTGACGTTGGAATGACTAAAAACCAAGGTACTAACCTTAAAAACATGGGAAGGAGCAACACTCGCAGTTGTAAGGATGGACGAGCTCCCCAAGCTCACCAAAGCCTCTCTCTGGATCCTAGGGGAAGCGCAAGCTGACTTTGACGAAAAAGAGGTTGTGCTTAGGCGAGTTGAAGGGCAAAACCCAAACTTGCATGTGGCGAAATGGTGCACCTTCCACCATGAAATCAGAAAAGACCCTAAGGGCCATCTTTTCTTCTTCGGCATCGGAGACGAAGACATGGGAACTCTAAAGGCCAAATCAATGAAGATGAGCTATGCGTTCACCTCATTGACTATAAGGCCAAAGGTCGAAAAAGAGGCTGAAGCGGGGCCCAGTAAGTAATTGTCTACTGTAATATACTCGTATTGTATATTTCTATCCAATGTTGTCAGATGTTATCATTCGCCAAATATATCACCGATTTTAAAATCTCTATTTGTCTTTGAGAATACGGATAGTGTCAGTCGATCGACATTTTAATAGACATTAGCAGTAGACATTATGACTAATGCGACATTTTTAATAGACATTCGAGAATAGGGCCCCTGAAGTCGAATCAGGCTTGCTCAATGTGAAGTATGTAAAGTTGTTTTCATCTTTTTGTTTTACTATTACGTCACCCTCTTTGTGTCCTCTAGTAATTTCTAACAAGTAGATTTAAAAACAGTACAGGTTTATAATTTGAGTCAAAGACTAACTATAAGGTACTCCAACTATCAAATGGTTACTATTGAACTAGTATATTGACGGCAAAAAATTGAGGTTCAGTTTTAACCTATCAATCACTTTTGACAAGTTAAAAATACAACTTGAGTCTAATTTTCAATATATATTTATTATTATCATTTCCCACTTGACGTTAATTTACTGAGAGATAAAAAAACGGCCGCATTCAGCAGAAGCAATCGATTTATGATTTTCTGCTGAATGATATATAAAAGAGCGATTAGTAATCAAATGATGAGTTATCGGCCGCCATTTAAAACATCGAATTTGAAATTCGATTAGTTATCACATCGTGATTAGATTTAGAACTCATACCAACTGAAGTGAATGTTTTGTGATGGTGCCACTGATCTGTATTATTTTACTGGATAAGATATAGCCCCCTAAAAAACGTTCCGAAAAATTGGCCGATTTGGGCAAAAAATAGGGCGGACCGGATGTTATTTAACCTAACCTCTATTTCCATTTGTCATTTAATTGTGTCAACAAGCTACGATGAGATGTTTTTATTGTGGAAAACAAAGTAAAAAGAGTATGAAATAAACAATAAACGTTCATTCCTGAAGACATAATATGCTTCACGTTTCCATTTTTATATTTTCTTTCATAAAAAATCAAATCATGGGTGAAATTTCCCGAAGGACATCGCCCGCAAAAGGAATAGAAGAAGAATAAGAAGGAAAACTAATCAAATTATAGGTTAGGTATGTCAAATTATCCCAAATTTCAGTTCTGTGAACCCACCATAATTTGCCCAAATCGGCCAGCATTGTTGCACTTCCGGTCTCCTTGGTGGAACAATTTTTTAGTATGTTAAATATAGCCTATATCCTATCAAGTAAAATAATACAGATCAGTGGGTGGTGCTCATAACTCATAACCTTATTTTATGTTTATTTTAAATTCATTTTGAAGTGATATATTTTTATAACAATATGAAATATATTGTAGTTGGTAATGAAGTGTTGCACAATGCATTAAAATCAGGCAAATACATTAATTTATAATTATGTAGTTGAGTAATTTATTTGGTGTTTTATTTTAAATTTTGTACCTATGTTTTAGATGATGACTTTTTGCTGAAGTACATGTCACTTTTATGTCGCCTTTCGAAGTGCCTAAAAAGTTCATTCAGCAGATTCACTAATCGCTAAGTTATCGTTTGATAATCGGTTGCTTCTGCTGAATGCGGCCAATGAACCGCCATTTTTTGCCGTACAGTGTTGTCAGAGTTGAAACATAACCATCCTCATTAATAAACTATAAACGTCAATTTATGACAGTTCATAAGTTCGGTATGAATACCAAACATTGTTTCTGTCAATTTATGCGAACCTAACGTTATGCAATTGTCAATTTTAGCCTCATTTTCTTTTGTTTTTAAATAAGAGTTGATTTACCTTAAATATTTGGTTTTTTTAATTTGAATTCTAAAAATTTGACACATTTCACTCTATAATATTAATTAGTATTTTTAGAGGTTACTGCGAAAGTTATTTTTTTATGATTTTATGCTGTGTTGTTAAATAATCTCTTGTGAATAAATCTCGGAACTAAAATGTCATTAGGGCATAAAATTGACGACAAAATGCAGTGACTATCCCTTTTAAATTCTTAATGTTCCTTGGTGAAAGTCATTATATTGTTATAATGGAAATGCCAGATATGTCGTTAAATGTTTTTTTTTTTTTTTTTTTTTCAAAATATAGTCTTTCTTCTTTTTAGCTGGTCTTATTAAATTATTTAAAATATCTAATAATTTCCCAAAGCAATATGGCAACATTACATTTTAGAATAACTATACAGAGTTAGTGGTATTTGACTTTTACAATAAAAAGTAGTATATAGGAGTATATTCTACCGTGGTCAAAGCCTTGTCAAACATTAGGTTTCCATCAGTATTACCAGTTAATTGTTCTATTTCCAACCATTTAAACAAAACAAAAAAAATTACAATAAACGCTTTTTTTTTTTGGGACGAAGTATTTCTAAACACATCACACTTAAATAGAATGAGATAACACTTCGTTGCGTAATTTAAAATTGTTTAACTTTAAAAAACGCCCAGTACATTATGAAAATGAAATTCCAATAATTACAGTGCATTAAAAGTACTTGTATTATAGTTATATATAACATTCTAGATCTCACCACTGACGTATTGGAAATATTGGAATGTCTTTAAAAAATTGTATTTTTTTGGTTGTCATAACCAGTAATAAATTTAATACCAAATGTATAGAGTAGGATATGGCATCGCTTTTATAACCAATTAAATGCCTTCGACAAGATTTAAAAAAAAAAAGAACAGCTTTGCCATATCCTGTTCTAGAAGTATAACCGAGGATCAAAGTAAAACCGCATAATAATTTACAAAATCTTACAGTAGTCAATTTTACATCATTTACTTTTTACAATATACCTTAAACTATGAAGTACAATTTAGTGAATTTTCAAATCAAAATAGATTACAAATAGAGAAAATTGAAGCAACGATAAAAAATAAAATAATGTACATTTATATATATTTTTTTTTACTTTGGTTCTCTCATGCAAAATATCAATCAATTAGCCTGCTGAATCATGCATTTTCAAATCAGACAATATTCAGAGAAGGAGGGCCATATACAATGCAGATTTTTAATCTACACTGTCCAGTTTTCTTAAATTTTACTCAGTTTGGCAACACCGACTAGAAAACATCTATGATGTTTAAGCAGCCACCATTGGTGACTTAAGCTAAGCGATACACCCTCTGGGGTACGTTTTATAAAATGTGTAAGTAGGCTAAATGTTGCCGTTGTTATTAAAATTGTAACAAATCTATGAATATTTGATTAAAATAAAACTCAAAGTTATAATTTCCTAATGTCACAGTATCAGTAACGGCAACCACTTTACAGAAATCTTAACTTGCCACTGTCTTTAAATTGGTTCAAAATTCTATTACAAATACATTAATTGATATGACAACACTGTAGTGTGTTGCACTTACTTACACAGCGTTGGAAAATTAATTTTTGCTTAGCTCTAACATCCTTTCAGTCACCTGACAAGTACTGCGGAATGTCAGTAATGCCAATTTAACACGATTTTTTGACAACAATGACAGATACCCAACAAAAATACTATTTTGACAATGAATGACGTAAATTTGTGTACAGACTTTAAATAATAGGAGAGTCTACTGATAAAAAAATTAAATATGCCCCGAAGGCATGTAAAAACATCGACTTTTACCAAATGGTACTCCTGTCAACACTATCCTGAGCAAAGTAGTTAAAACAATGGCACTTATGGTGCCATAATTAATAAGGAAAGTCGCGAATGCGCTAGTTCAGTGATGTAATTATGGTTCCACTGACAATTAAAGTGACAGTAGATTTTTTGAGTGCGTTTTGTTCGTTTTTTTTTACCTAAATTATATCGTTTTTTTCACTTTTATAAATATATTCCTAAAGTAGATAGCTTGTATCAAATATACAATCGTTTAGTTACCAATTACATACCTTTAAACTATTTTTTATGACCTGTAAACAATATTTTGAAATAAAATAAAAACAGTAAAAACGTATATGTCAAATTTATTGATGTTTTTGTAAAAAGTTTGGTTAGAATTAAATGTCAGTGGAACCAAAATGACATCACACTGAACTAGCGCATTGATAAGTAGTTTAAAATTGTGCCATTGGACACCCAATTATTTAATAAAACTTAAAAAATTAGAATTTGGGTTACAAAAAAAGGCATTGCCGAGCATTTGGCTCAGGAAAAGAGGTGGTACAGCTACTTTTTGAATTACACAGCCTGCGATTTAATACTTATAAAATCGTCGGTTCAGATAAAGACCTTTTCTATTAGTTTCGAGAGAATTTTATGGCCCTATAACGAAGACAATTCTAGACAATTTTTGTTCCCAATACGACTTCTTAGGATATTAGATATTATTGCACAAACTAGAATTAAATAACTTATTTTGACTTTATCTTCTTGGAAAATATTTCTTTTTTCCGAAGCTTTTTTTCGTTGTTTTTCTTGTATATTAGGCTGTTGGGCGGTCTCTTTTAAGCATCCAACAGTAGTCGACCATCATTTTAACATCCCAACGTCCCTGATATCCCCTTTCCATCTCTTTAATGTCTTGATGAAATCGGTCCCTTCGCTCTTCACTGACATCACTGTGGTTTTCCGGAAAATAGTCAAGATGAGCTTGTAGAAAATGAATTTTTATCCTCATATTACAACCTCACTTCCTAAATTTATACAGCAGGTATTCTAGAAACTTATTTACAACTTCTTTTAATGCTACTGATGGGACTTTTCATGAAAAGTAATTTTTGGACTAATCGGACGGACATGTCCGGAAAAGTAGTCGACCTTGGGCATAGAAAACACAGTTAAATCTCCATCTTTGAAGCTTTTTCAAAACACTTTGGAAACAATATTTGTATTTCGATTTTTTAGATAAATCGTTTAGAAAAATACTTCCAACTTTTTGAGTTTGTGGTCTTTTTTTACCTGTTTATTTATATGAAAAGAAAATTCGAAAACATTGTTAAAACATATAAAAGTCAGTAATAATTTGTAGTTTCTACATTTTGCTTTTGTTTGTAAGAAATTTAGACAAATTAGTTAATTTAATTTCGCGCATGCGCAATACCCTTTTCCACTTTTGGAAAGTGTGTTTGGACTAGTCAACTTTTAAGACTTGTCCGTTGTCTTTTCCAACCGACCCATCACTATTTAGAGCTTTCCATGCTTCGTTTTCCTCTTCCTGCATAACTTTCTCAATTTCTATACTTTTCATTAATTTCTTATTTGTAGCCCAACAAAAATGCCTTCTTTTAGTTTAGCTTCAGAAACGCTCGGAAATGTTTCACACAAGTACTTAAAACAACCACCATTTTTGTCTAAAGTTGTGACAAATGGTTTCATCAGTTCCAATTTTATATGAAGAGGATTTCTGGGTCAATTAGGCTTTCCCGAATTACATTTTTGGAGGTGTTACATTTTTTCTTGGTTGTCAATTTTCTTTTGGTCCAGTGGTCATTTCTTGCTCTACTGTCCCACTCTCAAACATGGGTATTTGGTATATCCGGATTGTTGACCCAAAAGCAATGTTAAAATGTTCTGGACTGAGACTGTATGTTCCTGGAGACCATGATATGACATTTTTTCTTTGCAGTTTATGACAATTTTATCTAATTTTTTTCGAGTGACCTCTCAAGTTTCTTGATGTGCTGGCCTGGAAGATATTATCACAAGTGTAATATCCACTGGTCAACTTGTACGTTTCTATCCTTTACACTTGAAAGTTGTAGTCTGGCTAGCCGATCACAATACTCATTGTTTTGTAGGGTTGGTGGTATTTTTGTGATTCTCCTTTGTACTCTTTCCAGCAGTTCAATGTCTTTAACAAAGTGTGGATCCCAAACGGTCTGTGCATATTGTATTTTTGGTCTTATGTAAATTGTGTACAGTTTCAGGATAATATCTTCGAAATAGTCTTTAAAAGCTATTTTGATAAGGTAAATGAGACTGTTGACTTTCTACTTTGTTTGACAGCTGTCCATTTATTCTTACATAGAACTGCCGGTTGAATAAGAAACTCTTAATTCATAATAATATATTGCCTCTTATTCCAAAGTTTTCCAATTTGTTAAGCAACCTTCTATGTGTAACTTTATCAAAAGCTTTCTCATAATCAAGATGTATCACATCAATTGACTGATTGTTGTCATTCCAAGCTGTTCACTAGTTAACTGCACTTAGAAGATTTGTAACAACAGATCTTTTGGGAGTAAATTCTTGCTGATTGCTTGGTAAAACTCGGTCACTTCTTTTGAAATATTTTCCATTGCTTTACCGATACAGCTTGTAAGACTGACTGGACGGTGGTTTATGGGATTCTTTTGTCACCTTTCTTTTATATAGGAGTGCTTCCAGTCCATATATTTTATAGATGAGACTGTTGACTTTCTACCTTGTTTGATAGCTGTCCATTTATTCTTACGGAGAACTACTAAACAGTCTTCTATGTGTAACTTTATCAAAAGCTTTCTCATAATCAAGATATGTATCACATCAATTGACTGGTTATTGTCATTCCAAGCTATCCACTGGTTAACTGCACTTAGAAGTTTTGCAATAACAGATCTTTTAGACGTAAATTCTTGCTGATTGCTGGGTAAACTATCATAAACTCGGTCACTTCTTTTATAATTATATTTTCCATTGCTTTACCGATACAGCTTGTAAGACTGACTGGACGGTGGTTTATGTCAGCATTCTTATATATGGGAGTGACTATAGCCTGTTTCCAGTCCATTGGCAGTCCCTGTTTTTGAATAGAGTCGTCATAAGTGTCACGAGAAGATTTAGAAGAGTATTAGAACATTTTTTAAGAAAAATGGGTGGTATTTCATTTATTCCAGGACTTGAATCTTAAGACTATTACAAATTTCATATATTTACTAAGCTATTCTCAACTATTTCTGTTACAGTTATTTGCGGTGATTGTATCAGGTTCTGTTGTATAAGCTACACTGAACCGTTCTGCAAATCTTTCTGCTATTTCGGCTGGTCCTGTGATTGCTAAATTTGTTGTTGCTTTTCTTAACGTGATCTATTCTTTTCACACAGAAGTAAAATTTCTTTTCGCCACTTTTTAAGAGATTATGTTCATAATCTTTTCTAGATACAGCCAATACATTTTTAAGTTTATTGTT